TGATCAAGAATAAAAATGGTGCAGAGTGGATCCTGGGCCAAGCAAGGACAGCTCTGCTCTCGAAGGTACTTAGACCGCTGTGCTTTGGTGAGGAAAATGTTCAATTTGCTGTAGTTTGAATCTGTAATGCCCCCCACCAAGCCTTGTGCATTGAAAACTTGGTCCCCATTGGTGGTACTATTGGGAAGTGGTGGAAATTTTAGGAGTAGAGGGGTTTATTGGGAGGCCAGCCTCTTCCTCCTTCCTGTTCTTTTGCTTCTTGGCCACCATGAGGTGAACAGCCTCCTCATTAGAGGCTTAAGAATGACTGGGCCAGTCATGGGTTGAAAACTCTGCAACCATTAACTGGAATAAATTTTTCTTCCCTTTCAGTTGATTATCTCAGGTATTTTGTCACAGCAATGGAAAGCTGTGATGATACAACATTATTTTACTGATCAACATTCTCAAACAGAAATGGAAACTTATGGTATGACTATCTTTAACTAAGAGAACCCTTCAAAACACAATAGGGAAGCTGCTATTCAATGTGGTAACCTTACATCATTGAGGTGGCTCAGAAAGAATGATATTGTGAGAATAGATCTATTTGCATGGGAGTTATTGAGTGGAAAAAAACCCAAAGTACAAAACAGTTTATGTAGTACAAGTCCATGTTTGTAAGGAAAAAATTTGCCAGTAATAATCCTAAGGAAAGGGGAAAGTGCTAGATTCCTCGTGTTTGTTTGTTCTGATGTTTTTTAGTATTTCCTACTAGTTGTTAATCATGTGATTAAAAACTGTGGGGAAACTTTCTTATTTATTTATTTTTTGGTGGTATTGGGGTTTGAACTCTGGGCCTTGCAATTGTTAGGCAAGTGCTCTACACTTAAGCCACACCTCTAATCCTTTTTGATTTAGTTATTTTTCAGATAGGGTGGTCTAGCATTTTTGCCTGGGACTGTCCTTAGACTCTGATCCTCCTACCTGCATTTCCAGCATAGCTGGGATTATAGGTATGTACGACAATGATCATCTTAGGGTCTTACTAACTTTTTAGCCCAGGCTGGCTTCAAATTGCAATCCTTCCATCTCCCTACATAGCTGGGCAGCTACTATTTTTAAGAACCAGTACAAAGGCTTGGCACAGTGCGAAGCTGAGATCAGGAAGGTTGTAGTTTCAAGTGGTCAAAGTTTGCCAGATTCCATCTCAACGGAAAAAAAGTCTAGGAATAATGGCATCTGTTATTCCAGCTATGGCAGAAAGCATAAGAAAGGATAATTGAAGTCTAGGCAAGCCTGGACAAAAATTGAGACCCTATTTCCAAAGTAACCACAGCAAAAAGGGCACCTGCCTAGCAAGTGTGAAGACCTGAATTCAAACCTCAGTACCACTAAAAAACAAACAAACAAAAAAAAGAAAATCAAAGAAGGTGAACATGGCACAGAATGAACCTATCTTTTATCTCCCACAGCTTGATTCAAGATAAATCCCTTTACTGATTTGTCTGGGACATAGTTTCACTGTCCATACATGAAAGTGTTGCATATACAGGTTATACGGATGCAAAAGAGACACGGCTTGGCGTCACCCATCTTTAGGATGGAATTTTTATTTTACAATTATTCCATCAAACACCAGCTATTTACCAATAATGGAATAATGAACACAGAAACAGGCACAGTCATAAATTACTGGTAGTCACTATAGCAACACTGCTTTATAAAATTACTTTTACTAACACAATTATCTTACAACATGTATGTTTTAAATATATGTGAAATATTTAAAATGTCTCATATTTAAACAACATATTTAAATATTTTAAGTAACATGTTCAAAATATGTTATTTTAAATAAACAACCTTAAAAATGAGTTATCCGTAAGTCCCCCCACACACACAAAGTTAGAGGATTACTAACATCAAAGTAGCTCTTATTAGGCACAGCAAAGTCATCTTTCACAAAGAAAATTATACAGGCATTTTTCGAGTTGCCACCAATTAAAATGATTATAGAGACATTTACCTCATCTTGTGTTTCCTTGTTTGTAGCTTCATAAAGCTTGTGATTTGATTTGGGTTGAAATATCCTTGGTGGCTGTTCAGAACTTTGTTTTAAGGATGAGAAAAACAAATATGTTACTTCAACACATAAAATTAACACAGCGTCAGAGGCTATGCTTTAGAAATTGCAATCTTTCTTTGTGATTACTCTTCTGTGCAAATTGTCCTTTAAAAAGAGAGAGAAAGATCATCATGGGATAGTCACATTTTCAGGTGAAGTTTTTAAAAACATGTGGGGGTGGGGTTGGTAGCACTTGGAGGGCAGAGTAGGGCAGAGTTGGTGTAGGAAGTTGCTGACAGTCCTGAATTTCTGCTTCTTCCTAGTTAAACCCTGAGATGCTTTCCATGAGCAAAAATATATTCCGAAGTTTAGAGGATTTCCAGGACCCTGATGTTCTACTTTCTAGCCATCTCTCTCCCTACCCTGGTAATGTGGGTGGCACCACTAGGAAAATATCCAGATTATCACTTAAGATGTGTTACTTTTTGCATTTTTAGCTCTATGTATGTAAAGAAGTTTCCAAGCCAGTACCAGTGATAATGTTCACATCTATGCTAGACAGTCATCCCTCTGTATCCATGGGAAGACTGCTTTCAAGGTTCTATAGAGATAATGATATCTGAGGATGTTCAAGTCCCTCCTATAAAATGATGTATAACCTATGCAATACTCCTGTGTACTTTAAATCATCTCTAGATTATTTATACTTCCTAACACAATGCAAATGCTCTGTAAAAGTTATTATTCTGTATTGTTTGTGGAATAATGACAAGAAAAAGTCTGTACATTTTCAGTATAGACACTATTTAAAAAAATATTTTCAGTCCACAGTTAGTTGAATCCTTGGAGGAGAAACCTGCAGATGCAGAGGGCTGCTGCATACATTTTAACTCAACAAACATATCATTCAAGCCACTCTAAGAAACATAAGCAAGAGCGTAAGAGAAACCCTTATTTCAATGTTTATGAAATTTGTGAATTCAGTTTATAAGTACTATAAACTTGTATTGAATATGTTTTGTGGTAATTTACACATTATTATTTGCAGACATGAATGACATTCATATCTTCTAAGTCTCCTTGTGCAATTGTTTTAGCTACTCTAATATTTTGTAAGATTGGCACATGTCACTATGGGAACACCTCCTTAGAGGCATATCATCATGGATAAAAAACCTCATGTTGCTCACATGAGATTTTATTTAACTAGTGTTCTATAAATATTGTGACATATGATAGCTTCCCAGTACTTGTAAATGCATTATTTCACTTGATACATCTTTATAATAGTGAAAATCCTAAAGTAACATATAAGGTAATTGAGACACAAAGAGTCTATGTCCTTCCAAGGTCACACAGTAGTAGACTCTGACTCTGAAGGTATTGATTCAGCAATGACTCTCTCCTCCATTAATATTGTATTTCAGTGGCCCCAGGAGTCCAAAGTTTTAGAGGGAACAGAAATGCAAGGTATCCTTTTGTAAGATCCCCAAAGAAATGTATAAGCAGGAGATCCTAATTGACAGGTCCTCAAGTCAAATTGGGACTGCTCCCAGCAACTAGATCCCAGGGAAAAAGCCATTTCCTGGGTCTGCCCTCCTGCTCCTGGAGGATGTACAGATATATTGATTCACCCACTAAGCAATATTTACACAGCACTACTGTCTGCCATGCACTCTCTGAAGTACCAAAAATACAACCACCATCACAACAGAGCCACTTCTTCACTCTGAAGAAATTGAAGCTATCTTGGTAAAGATGGAAATGTATCAAGCAATTCTTACAAAGGGTGATAAGCCCTAAGATGAGTTGTCCAGAGAGACTATGAGAGAGAGGCACAACCTGGACCAAGACGTTGTAGGAAGTGATGTCTGAGTTGACACATGGAAAACAAAAAAGCATTCATCAGATCAAATAGCCAGAAGGGCAAAGATGCAGAGGCTAGGGGCATGTGCTTAGTTTGATGAACTAGAAGAAGTTCAATTTGGGTGAATTGCAAAATCTGAGATCCTGACCAGCAAAAAGGAGTCTGGATTTTATCTTGACAATAAGGAGGACCAAACAAAGCAGTCTTGAACAGACCACAGTTACAGAAAGATCAAGGAAACTGTTGTAGAAACCTAATTGAATGATGGTAGGTGGGGTGGTCTAAACTAGGTAGTGAGAAAAATATGAAAATGGATTCAGAATATAGACTCATAAGACCTGATCCTTGATTGGATGTGGGTGGTAAGGGAGGGAAGAACCAGGGTATAATTCCAATAGGAAGAGGACAACAAACTCTGCAGCTTACACTGCCTTAGGAAAGAGAGGAACTGACAGCAGGGTCAACTTCCAGTCTCCCCGCTTCCTCCTACCACTGCCTGGATTGAGGTATTTCTTTTTCAGTTAGAAGAAAACTATACAGAATTCTGAGATTGGATATTACTTACTTAGATTATATGAATGAAACTGTAACTCAACCAACTTCAAGATATTGTTTTATTCCTTGGCAGCACAAAGAATTAGAAAAATAAACATGTAGTACAGGAGGCATGTAGACTATTAAATACTTAATCAAATCTATGCAATTTGTCCTAAAGGACCATCAGTAGACGCAGTCAAGTGTGAAAAAGAATTTTATTTGGCACGAAATTGGGTAAGCTTGGACTCAGAAAGGCATCTAAACAATTTTGGAAGTTGTATTAAGTGAGTGTACCAATCTTACAGTATCTATGATTGTCAAGTCTATCTATCTTTCTTCTTTCTTCCTTCCTTTCTTTCTTTTTTTTGTGAGCATAGTCATTTAATTATTCAACTGACATTTAGCCACTGCAGGTCCCACAACCATTCCTAAGCCCATGACAGAAGTCCCAATGGGTGAAGCCACACAATCATAGAATATGAAACACACTAAGAATGTCACAGCTAGGGGGAATAGGTGCCTTTTAATGAAATCCACAAAAATGGCTTATCAGAATATGTCGTCCTCTTGGTTGTAGGACATGTCTGACTCTATGACCCCAAAACCTTCATAGTTATAGTTTCTGTCAATTGGGGCTGCCTCACTTTTACTCTTCTTCCTCTTCAGAGCCTCTCCTCCCTGTGGGTCAGATGGTTCAAAGGAGGCAGAATTCACAGTTGGAAGTCCTTTGACAAGTGGAACCTCAGATCCTCCTAGTTGAGCTGAATCTGAATGATTAACTGGGGGAAAAAGTCGGTCACTCTGTAGTCTTTTTCTTATTTCTTCTTCTTTCATCTGAAAAGCAGTATTAAAAAATGAAAAGGACTCTGAATGACTCCTTACAAGCAATTATCAACACTGCTTATCATGATTACTTCTGAAAATTCCATTCATTATTCAACCATGTAACAAACATCGTTGAGGAACCCCTGCTGAAGGAGATAGACACAGGACTTATTCTCATGCTGTGTGTAGTGTAGTCCTTTCTTCCTTGGTGGTCAAGTGGAGAGGCGAAATGTTGACTATGGGACAAAGCTGTGAAGGCTGGTTCCAGCAGAACAGCTGTTAGAGTGCTATGGGGCTCAGGTGCTTCAGCTGCAGGAGCTGTTGTCTGAAAGTCTGCAGAGCCTCCTTTTCGCTTAACTCCCCACCCCACCCTGCCTCTCCTCTCACCCCTTCCCCCAAAGGAAGTTTTCCTTTTTTCCTATGAAGAAAACCCCATACTGTACTTAATCCTGAGAATTGGATACTATTTATTTGCCTATAAGGATGACACTATAATTTTCCATCAAATTTAAGATATTGGTTCATTCCATCACAAAAGTAATTTTAAGAAAACACCAAGCATACAGTATAAGAAGCACACAGATCATTGAAACACAGAATATAAAACTTGTAATTTGTCTTAAAGCTGCTGAGAGGACAGCAGCTCCCTTTAGCAAGCAATTAATTCCTCAGGCTTAGAGCACCTGAGAGCTCAGTCACCTTCCTACGCTCTTCTGCCGCCTGCATCTTCTCTTCTATGTCCTTCATTGTGAAATCCTTTACTTCCTTTTTTATCTTAAGTTTTTTCAGTCTGGCTGGTGGCTTTCTTAGTGGCTTCTCAGTTGTGTCCACCTGGAGGAAGATATATACATCTATATATATATTAGTTGAAAGAGAAAGGCAGGAGGGGCAGTATAAACACTTTAAAATGTAAATCTTAAAAATCTAAATTTTCCGAAAGCAGCAAAAACAACTTGAAATCTGGTCACAACAGAATTAACTTCTCAAGATCAATATATTAGGTGCCTTAGAAACATCAGGCTGTTAAAAAAGGTGCTAAGAATGTGAGTTCTGAAACTAGCTGAAAGATGACTCATAAGAAAAAAAGCTCTTGAGAGCTTAGAAAGGCAGAGAATGAGTGAGGAATTTAATGTAAAAAGTTCAAATTGTTACCTTCATTGATTTATAATATTTAATAATAATATTAATTGATTTTATGATAGTCCACAAGCCACAAATTATTTTCATTTGGATAAAGATGAGTTTTTACTACTTTTGATCTTATGGTGGAAAAGATAATTGCTGTTGAGCAACAACTCTGTGCTGGGCTTTGCTATTGATGCTCTACAACTATTTTCATGACAGCAGGGAAATAGTTTTGCTATTGATACTCTACAACTATTTTCATGACAGCAGGGAAAAATGAGCCTTTTCATATGTTGACCACCCACTCTTTCAACAGGGCAAAGAATGATAATGCCTTTCTAATTATAATTTCTACTTAAAAAAAGAAAAACTATTATGAAGGTTGTATGAAGAAAGTTTTAATTTATGTTTTTCTTTTTATAAAATTAGCCTCTAAAACATATTTAATATGAAAAATGAAAATGATACATAAATAAATTCTTAGTCCTCTCTTTAACCACTTGGTCCCATCCTATTCTTCAACATGAACTTTTTTTAAAAAGAGTTTTGTGTGTGTCTTCTAGATAGTCTCTGTGTTCACATATTTCTATATATATACATGTATAGCAGATCTGTAATGTTAAACAAGACCTACACAGGATAATGCCATATACCCTGCTTGCAATCTTCTTTCTTCACTTAATTTAATATGGACTTCTCTCTTATACAGATTTATTATGACTGTGGAAATTTTGAATTAATTCCAAGCTTAATTGTAAAATGAACTGAAATATTTTCTAAATAATTTCTCTAGAGATTTTTTTAAACACAAAGGAGTTATTAATAATTACTATAATTTCCAAAAGACTGCCTTTTCAGAGAAAGGAAAATAAATCAAGCAGAAAAGAGAGGCAGATTAGCATAATTCAGAAAGGCAAGCGATTGGTACTCAGATATGAGTTTGAATCCTAACTTGACTATGAAGTGACAGAACTCTATAAGCCTTGACATTCTCATTTATAAAATAGGCTTAGTAGTACTTAGTTTTTTTAAGAGAGGAGAAAGTATATAATACCTGCTCAGTAATGGTAACTACTTTACAGTACATGACATCAGTGACTTTTTTCTATGACAGCACACAAAACCATAACCAGGATACAGAATTATCACAATGGTGGGGAAGGAGAACTGGAAGTACACAGCACCAGAACAGGAATCAGAATTGGGAGTGATCCAGTGTGAGGCTTGAGAGGAACACCTCTTCTCTCTAGACTCATTTTCTTAACTACAACTTAGTGATGGGACACAGTACTCCTAAGCTTCCTCCCATCTTTAAAATCTATGATTCTCAGTCTTTAAAAAGGAAAACACTTATTGAAGATTTGGCTCTGGTACAACCATTAGACAGTTTTATGTGGTGGGAAATGTTCCTTTACATGAAAACTGAGATGTTCATTAAAGCAAGTTTCCTCTACTCTTCATTTGTTTTTTTTTTAAATGACATTTGGCTCTTAAGCTTTCTGCTGTGGAAAGCTGTTTGCTGGAAAGAGGGTGGTACTTGCTATGGAGGCTCAACTAGAGGAACTTTGAAATTAACATAAAACCTTTCTTAGGGATGTTCCATCAGGGAAAGCTGAAAGAAAATAATAATCCAAGATCCCATAAAGAAATGCTGGGTTGAAACAACAACAAATGCTAGCGAGGATACAGGGAAAAAGGAACCCTCATACACTGCTGGTGGGAATGTAAACTAGTACAACCACTTAGGAAAACAATATGGAGGCTTCTTAAAAAACTAAACATAGATCTGCCATATGATCCAGCAATACCACTCCTAGGGATATACCTGAAGGAATGTGACTCAGGTTATTACAAAGGCACCTGCCCATCCATGTTTATTGCAGCACTATTCACAATAGCCACTATGGGAAGACGACCAGGAAGTAGTGAAGAGGTCTGGTAGAGATGAACCAATGTGGGTTCTAATACACATGTGCATGGAAGCGACACTAGGAATCTCTCTGTATAGCTATTTTTATCTCAAACTAGCAAAACCGCTATGTTTTTCTTATTATCTCTCATGTCTTCTCTTTAACAAAATTGGAGAACAAGAGGGCAGAACAAGTTCTGCCTGGAAGCGGTGGGTGTTGGGGAGGGTTGGCCCAAATAATGCATACCCATATAAGTAAATGTAAAAATGATAAAATAAAGCAAAAATAAATGCTGGATTGGGTTTTACATAGCATTCTGAACTCTGACTAAAACAATGAGACCACTCAGTAGTTCTGAGAGAAGTTTGAATTTTCTGCTGGCTTTATCTCAAAATGATGCCTGTGAAATCACATTCTTCCTCCCCTTGAGAAGTTAATCCTATCTGTGCAACCCTTGTCCTTTCTTAAGTTTGATATTTTATGTAAAAAAATTAGAAAGACCTGTATAAACATATCTGTATTCTTCACAACTGAATTTCATGACATCAGGGGTTATCAAATGTTGGCACTTAAAAATGATGATGATTATATTTTGCATAAAGATGTTGCCTGTAAAAACTGAATGACCACCACCTTAAAGCCTAGAGAAGTTAGCCAGTTCAATTATTTTCTTTAAGAATCTATTGGAGAACAAATGTGGTGGTACATGTCTGTAATTCTAGCTACATGGGAGGTGGAGATGGGTAGATTTCAGTTCCAGGCCAGCTTTGGCAAAGTTATCAAGATCCTATCAAAAAACATCAGGGCCTGGTGGAGCATGTCCTGTAATTCCAGCAAGGTAGAAGGTGGAAGTAGAAAGATCTAGGTCAACATCACCCTGGGCAAATAGTACAAGACCCTATCTGGAAAATCAAGTGAGGCAAAAAGTGCTGGGGCGTGGATCAAGTGGTAGAGCATGAGGCCCTGAATTCAAATCCCATACTGAACAAAAAGGCAATATGATCAGAGGATCCTGACCCCACAAAGATTTGCATCATGTTTCTAGCCAACTTAACCTGTATACATTATGTCTCACATCGCCAATGAATTCCCCAGAGCTTTCCTAATCGACTCTTGACCTACAGATGAACCTACTACCTTGATTTTCTTCCCTAGGGGAGTGTTGTGCACAGATTGGGCCAAAGCTTTCTGAAAAAAAATCTGGTCCTTCCTGTTCTTTCACCTCTAGACCTTCTGGGGAAGGTCACTCTGATGATTAACTGACCTCCTTTAGTCCTGACTCAGTCAACTTCCTCTTCCTTTGAAAACTCCCCATGGGGTTCAACAAATAATGCTAGAGATTGTGATGCAATGTAAGCAAACTCCCTAACTACACTCAAGGTTACCAAGCACAGAAGGTGCATAAAGAGTATAAAACTTGGCCACTCACAGGAGAAATTAATAGAAAATCCACTGAGCCTCCTGTAGAGAACCAGGGTGTGCTAAGAGGTAGGAAGAGATAAGCTTGGGATAAAAGACACCTAAACTTACTAACATGTGGATAAATGATAGCCATCCACAGATCTTCAAAGAGGTCTGTACCAATCCATACATACTCTAGCATGTGTACAAACCAATACACATTTACAATGTAGCTGCTTTGTCTCATTAAAATGTTTTAAAGATTCATTTAATGATCTGACATTTACCTTCTTAATACTATCTTTTACACTCATTTTAACTCTTAAGTAAGCATAAAATCTGTTCATATGAGCATGCTCAAAAATTGATTATCCAGAGAGCACTATTGAATTACAGTGTTCACCGGTGAGTGAAAGATAAAAATTAAGAAAAAAATGAAAGGGGGCCCTGTGGTAGACACAGATATTCCAAGAACCCTATAGGAAGAGACTGGCTCACTGCCTGTCTTGATTCCAAGCAGCAATGGAGGGCCCTCACCTTTCAGCATCTTTTATTCTATCTCACTCTAATTTATTTTTATTTCTATCTATCTATCATCTATCTATCATGTGATGCTGGAGATTAAACCCATGGCCTTGTGCAAGTGCTCTAACACTGAGCCAGGGCCCCAGCCCTCTATTTCACTTTAAATGGAAATACAATGAAAGATAATGACCTGGCTAAGAAGGGACAGATCCATGTATGGAATTTTCTTGCAGTCGAGTATACTATTGCTCCAAATAAGAAGTTTTATTTTTAAGTATTCTCAAACTGATTCTATTTTTCCCATAACATTTTATTTAAAATATTTTTCTCCTAGAGCAATGAAGAAATAATATGTACATATCTGCTGGGATATGCTCTTAAGACTGTTGACCACAAGGAGGCTTCATCCATGACACTGAGCAACTGTAGCTCTTCTGCCTTTCCCTAGGCTTCCTGGGAAGTGAAATGCTCTTGAAGTGTTATTGCTCAGGGATTGTGTAGAATTCTCTTTCACAACGAACGAGGAATGAATTACAAATAATTTCAAAAGCTTAAACCCTCCCCAACTTGATGACAAATTTGAGAGCTTTGTGTACAGGCTTGTCAACATTTCAGAGTAGTGGTTCACAGCCTGGCTACACACAAGAATTATCTGGAAGCTTTTGAAAGCATGAAAGCTGGGGCCTGCACCAGGCACTAGTCCAAGGTGGAATCTGGGCTCTGAGGTTTTTGAAAGCTCTCTAGGTGACTCCAATGTTCAGTCAGGTTAAGAATCAGAACATTAGGCAATAAAATAAAAGAGCTGTGTGTTGCTGCTGGCCCGTTGGAAGCCTGGCTTATGCTGGAACATCTTGGCACAATACCTAAGGGGAAATAACAGAATTGTGGCATTCTTTCAGCCTGTCACATTTAATCCTTTTGAGAATGTCTTAACCATGCTCCTAATAACCATTTCATTTCTATATAATATGAAAACAGCTCTCATCTTTAGTTCACTTCATGAGGCGATTGAAAGTCAAGCCTATAGTTGTCAATAACAGATACATTTCTTTCAGAACATAGTTTATGTAAATTAACATGTGGGCTTCTGTCCAGATGTAAGCCAGCACTCATTCATCCCTGGTGATTGGATCACTGAGATACTTTAGTGTTATTACTACAGGCATCAAGGTGTGTGTAGCATTTCCTTTAAGAAGATATGGGACAGCCGCTACCAAGTACTTCCAAGGTATATCCTCCTCCACATGAACGCCTCTCATCTTTTTTTCTGTCCCCCAGAGACCCACCTACAGCTGGAAAAAAATTCTCTCCCTTTCCATATGAAAGACATGTTCTACTATTTTCAAATAAGAGCAAGTATTCCAAAATGCCTTGGATCATGATACTGTTGTGTGAATGTAAACTGACATGTGATAGCATCAGCCCTGCCATTGTAAGAAGCATTTGTTCCTTCTCCTTTCCCTTGCATCCTCCTGTTAGTGGCAGCCTTGTGTGTCCTCAAGGTTTGGCAGTTCACGTTTCCTAACTACTTACAGCAGAATTTGTTTCCTTTTGTCAAAAGAAAATGCTACTTTGGCTTTAATTCGTGAGTTTCCAATATCCTCTACACACAGAAAAGAAAATTACCTTTATATAAGCATTAAGGGAGTTGGTCTAGGTGCAAACTTGATTTGAATAATGAATGTTTTAATCTGTAATTGTTTTCCCTACAACACAGGAATAGGTAACAACCATGGATGTTTTGATGTAACTCTATTTCCACCATTTCTGTTTTTTGGTTTTTTTTTTTTTCTTATCTGTTCATTTTTTCCTTGGGCTTCTTTTCATTGTTATTTCTTCTTCTTTTTTCTCTTCTCTCATTGTGTTAAAAACAAACAAAGAAAACAAGACAACAAAACATGCTGTGGTCTTCCCAGATATATACAGAACTTGACAAAAATTTAAGAGCCTAAGCTTTGGTCAAGCCAGTTAAAAAATCAGAGTGAAAACATCATTCATACTAAGGAAAAACACTGAGTAACTCTATTTCCACCATTTCTGTTTTTTGGTTTTTTTTTTTTTCTTATCTGTTCATTTTTTCCTTGGGCTTCTTTTCATTGTTATTTCTTCTTCTTTTTTCTCTTCTCTCATTGTGTTAAAAACAAACAAAGAAACCAAGACAACAAAACATGCTGTGGTCTTCCCAGATATATACAGAACTTGACAAAAATTTAAGAGCCTAAGCTTTGGTCAAGCCAGTTAAAAAATCAGAGTGAAAACATCATTCATACTAAGGAAAAACACTGACAGACTGATCAAGATGAAACAATAAAAACAACAATATAATAATTTCTAGAACTGTGTTTATTTCCTCATGTTTGGTTCTAGGGTGTGCATGTGTATAAATATCAATGTGAGTCGACTCCCTGTATAGCTATCCTTATCTCAACCAGCAAAAACCCTTGGTCCTTCCTATTATTGCTTACACTCTCTCTTCAACAAAATTAGAGCTAAATAGTTTCTGCTGGGTAGTGAGCAGGTGGGGGGGAGAGGGAGGGGGCGAGGTGGGGGGTAAGGTGGGGGGAGAAATGATCCAAATATTGTATGCACATATGAATAAAAAAATAACTTGCACATACTGGAAATAATGACTTGCAATCAAGCATATTCTATTCCTAATTTAACTATAAGCATATGTGAATTAGAAATTACTTGCCATGACATCATATGACTCTCCAGTTCTAAATACTTTGCTTTGGCTTTGTATTATTCCTTGAACAATGAGTTCTTCCAGAATGTCTGATGACTTTTGTCGTTCTTGAGTCTCTAGAGGTTTGGTCTTATTGATTAATCCATTTGTCACTGGGTCTTCCAAAGGAAAAGAAAAAAGAAAGGAAATTTAAGAACAAAGTTTTAAAATTAATCAAGTGCTAAATGAATGCCTTATAAATCATACCACTTAATTAAAGTATCTGTTTCTATTATAAAATTTGGTTCTATAAAGTTCAAATTCTTACGATTCTTACCAAGGAAACGTATTGACATGATGTAGTGCTTTTTTTTCCCCCCCGGTGGTGCCAGACAGATATTCTACCATTTAAGCTACTCTGCAAAACACTTTTTTGCATTGGTTATTTTTATTACTATTATTCCTTTGGTTGGACAGGGTTTAAACTCAGGGCTTCTTGCTTGCAAAGCAGGTGTTCTACTGCTTGAGCCATACCGCCAGTACATTTTGCTCTGATTATTTTGGAGATGGAGTCTTGCGAATTACTTGCCTAGGCTGGCTTTGAACTGAAATCCTCCCAACCTCAGCCTCCCAAGTAGCTAGAATTACAGGCATGAGCCACTGGTGTGCAGCTACATGCTATTTTTGAGATAAGGTCTCGCTGTATGCCTGGGCTGTCCTGGACTGCAGTCCTCCTACTTACTCTTCTCCATATAGCTGAGATGATAGGTACATACCACCTCACCCAACCATTGGTTGAGATGGGGTTTCATGAATTTTTTGGCTCTAGTTGGCCTTGAACTGCAGTCTTCCCTACTTTCTCTTCCTGGGTAGCTAGCATTACAGGCTAGAGCTTCTGTGCCGAGCCTACATAATCTATTCTTTACTTAGCAGATCTCATAGTAGCATAACAAAAAAAATTTTATGTGTGCTGCTATGTACTACTTTTTTGTTGTAACAACACTTATACACTTGGGTAAGGCGGCATGAGTTTGCTCCACTAATTATGAAGCTAAGCTGCAGCTAAGACTCAAGACATTCTTCTGGTGACTCTTATGAGTTGCAGTTTGGTTTCTACGCTTTGTATACAAAGGATAAACAGCATGATGTTGCCAAGAGACGTCTAGTTCTGCAACCCTGAGTGTACAGTTACACCATCTGCTAAATCTACAGAAGGGAAGTATGCCTTTTTGAAGAGTCTTTGAACCAAATCAGAATTGGAGATACAGTAATACCAGCTAAAATCTTATTTATGATTTTTTAAATGAGCAGTGAAACAGTTTCTAGGGGACCCTTTATAAACTGCACTCATGAGAAAGGACACCTCACTGCAAATCACATAATTATGTGTAAATAAAAAAGCAGCCACTTTCATGTCATTATATTATAAAATAAAAGGTGATGGCTTGTGGGCCCAAAGAGAGCCCTTGGAGATGAGCTCTCTTCTAGTTTGTAATTTTCAGGAAGTCTTGACAGTAACCAAGTCCATTTCATTTAGTGGACTGGTATCTTTTTATGAAACTTTCCCCAGTGGTTACAAAGACAGTTCCATAAGTTTATGCTGAGAAGGTAGAAAACATACCTACAGATGAACACACACACCGACCAAGTGTTTCTCACTTTATAACATTAGCCTACCTTTTACAGGGGATTTTTCTATCTGACCACTGCATGTAGGACCTACAAATTCTTCACCAGCTCAATGCCTATCCAGTGCTGCCTCTGCTGCCCATAAGGGTGTTTGAAATGGAACCAACTCTCATTTTAAAGTGTTCTGTACAATAGGGACTGAGGGAAAGGGGACTTTTGAGGGGGAGAGGATAAATGGAGGTGATGAAGGGGAGGGGAATATGGTTGTTGGACTTAGTACACGTATATGAAATAGAAAGATGAATCCTCTTGCAACTGTTTTAAGTAGGGTGGGGAGGGGCTTGAGGGAGAAAATGGCAGCAATCTAACAATATATAGTGTAAGCTTATTAGGAATTGTCACAAAACCAATGTACAATGAATATATGTTAATAAAAATGAAAAACAAATAAAATGTTCTGTACAGATTTGGGGAAAGAGCGGTAACACATGTCATCCAGGTAGAAACTTGAAGAAATGAAGAAAATTTCAACATAAAAGTCACAGGTTAATTTCTGCAAGGAATTCAAGTGTTTTTTGTTCTTGCTGTTAAGATAGATTCGTGTGGAGGGTCAACATGATAATAATGACTACTTATTGAGCACGTTTGCACTTGCACTATGCTAATTACATTATATACTGTTTCACATCTAATTCTGCATAAACTCTGTAAGAGAGATATTATCCCGAGTTTACAAATAAACATATTCATATGGTGGAAGCTAACTAACTTGCCCAAGGGGACACAAGTAGCAAGTGTGTTAACTAGGACTGAATCCAAGTCTGTTTGACTTCTACACTTGTTCTCAACCTCAATCCACCAGTGGTTTACCTCTCTTCCAGGATATTTCTAAAGGAATGGCATGTTGACATCTGCCACTAACATAATAAAATTATCATAACCATTCTGATCCATTCTTTTCTGAGTCCACTAAAGTATGTGGCTTGACATTTATAGTAGCTAATCCATACAGAGAGTCCTGGAATATGTCAGGCATTTCACTCATTTTCATGTTTTCTTGGGACATTGAAGAATATTGGGGAATGTTTCAAAATAATTGTGAGGCTCACACCTGTGGTCCCAGCTATTCCAGAGACAGGAATGGAGGACCGCAGCTTGAGATTAGACCTGGCAAAAAGTTAGTGAGACACCCCTAATCTCAAAAAACAAACTAGATGTGGTGGTGTGTGACTGTAATCCCAGCTATGTAAGAAGATCATGTTTGAGGCCAGCCCCAGGGAAAAATGTGAAACCCTATCCAAAAAATAACTAAAGAGCAGTTCAAGTGGTAGAATGCCTGCCTAGTAAGCAGGAGGCCATGAGTTCAAACCCACTACTATTCATTTGGCAGAGGCAGGAGGATCTTGAATTCAAAGCCAGCAAAGCAAAGTTAGTGAGACTTTATCTCAAAAAACAAGGTAGAAACAAAGGAGCTTGAGGCCTGCCTCAAGAGATAGAACACTTGCATAGCAAGTTTGAGGCTTTGGGGTCAATACACGCCGCTGTTAAAAACAAACAGACAAAGAAACCCCAACCAAACAAAAAAACAATTAGCCCCTAACAAAAAATTTGCTTTTATTTTATTAGAATGATAATATATGGTTGTCATAGTAAATTTAGAAAATACACAAAAGAATAAAAGATAAGATGAAAATGCCTATAATCTCACCATCCAGAGAATGCCATCATTAAAATACAGTTTATTTTAATAAATTCAGTATCATACTGAACCTTGTTTTGTTTCCCAAATAGTTAACATTTATATTAGCATTTTCTCAAGTCATTAGAAATTCTTTAGATTTTGTTTTTGTTTTATTTATTTATAGGTGGGTTTGGGGCTTGACTCAGGGCTTCAGGCTTGCAAAGCAGGCACTCTACTGCTTGAGCCACACCTGCAGTCATTTTGCTTTGCTTATTTTTGGAGATGGGGGTCTCTTGAACTATTTGCCTGGGTTGCCTTGAACCTTGATCCTCCTGATCTTAGCCTCCCAAGTAACTAGGATTGCACGTGTGAGCCACTGGCATCTGTTCTAAAAATTCTTCATAAGCATAAGTATAAAAAGTGAAATTATATAAGAAAACCTGGATGAAGTCATCTTAACTGTGGAACAGGGAAAAACTTCTGGATTTTTCTTTAGGTCAGATATAGTTAGTACATTTTTAACTGATGATGGGTTTATTAGGAGGTGTCTCCATTGTAAATCAAGGAGCATTTGTACTTTATAAATGTTAGTGTGAAACTTGAAATTCTTAACAAATGTCCTTTGTAGATGTGAAGTTGATTTAAAGAACAAAAAAAACCAAAAAAACAAAGGAAGATAGGAAAAGAGGGCAGAAAAGACATGTAAAGTCCAGGGCAATTTGTGATGAGATGCTTCCTGAAAATGCTTTTACACTACATTTAGAAATATCTGTGCTGGTAGCTGACTTCTTCCCTGAGCTGTTCTCTTAGCACTTTTCTGCTTCTCTGCCACCCTCCCCATACTGCTTTTAATAGTGTACAGCTGGCAGAATTGAGTGTCCTGAACACACACCTGTTCCTGACTGCCTGATGCTCTGCAGTCAACTAACCACACAGGTATTTAGCATGCGTGGATCCAGCAACATTACCATCAGAGAGAACAGGTCTGCTTCCTGGCAGGTAGAAGACAGGAAGGAGCTGTCTGGGACTGCTTTCCCTCTCTCCTGCTTCCTTTGCAGGTCATGTGGACCCCACATCAGAACCACAACAAGGTGACGAACATAAAATCTGTGATAAGCTGGGTCCATGGGAAGGAATTTCATGTATTAACTCATCTACTTTTCAACCCTAACTTGTAGCAAGGGAAAAGACTACAGTGAGAAGGAATGAAATGAGTCTTCCCTCAAAACAAAACAGACTTTTTGTCCTCCAGGTCTGCTAAGTTCACACTGTTTCAAAGTCTGGTCAAATATAAATAAGGTGTCATAAATCAACAGTAGGGAGTAACTCAAGGAAAGGGAAAACACAGCAGCAGAAAAACCACAAACAGTGTCTAAGAAGCAAACCAGGTTGTAATTACTTCCTTTACAATTTTTTTTTTGTGCTGCTTGGGTTTGAACTGAGGGCCTTATACTTGCTAGGCAGGCACTCTACTGCTTGAGCTACACTTCCAGTCCTTTCTGCTACGGTTATTTTGACAGTAGGATCTCACTTTTTGCCAGACCAACCTGAATTGTGATCCTCCTGTTTTAGCTTCCCATAGTTGCTTGGATGATAGGCACATGCCACCACCACCCAACTGAAAGATTCTTTTACTGCATATTTGTTGATACTTTGGATGCACTGGGATGGTGGGGAGGTTCAATGAAGGTTTTACATATGTTTTCAAATTTAGAACTTTCCCTTAGAAAAATGCTGACACAGTGGGAATTTAAATTTCTTTCAATGGTGCAACCCCTATTCCTAAATTGTATTTTCAATTTTCAATAAAGGCTGAAGTTTAAACATAAAAAGATGGCTTTAATTACATCATTCACAGAAAGATTAACAGTTAGCATCATTTCCTCACACAATGAAGGCCTAAAATTAAATTCTAATGGTCTTAGAGATAAGAAACTTGCCACTTAAAAACCTCATGACCTACAAAGCATGGATAAAGGACCATAGAACACACATTACTTATGTAGAGAAGTGGTATTTTATGAAGATCAACATGAATGGTGGGGCTGGGGTTTTACCTGAATTCAATCTTCCATTTCTTTCACCAGGAGGTGGAGAACTTTCTGGAATAATTCCAGGTAAGCTCCCCATCTGGGCTTGTTCATCCAGGCCTTCTGCCTTGTTCACAGTGTCCTTGGGCCATGCACTGTCAGTCTGGGGACTGCGATTCTCCTTGGAATGAGTCACTCTGACATCAACCTATGAAAAGGGAACAACAGCTTGATGAGAGTAGAAATTTCTTGGGAAAAGGAAAACAGTGTTGCAGGGTCGGCTTTGTGCCAACTACTGTGTGTGATAGTGTGACTAGTACTCAGAAGTCTCTATGGCAACATTACTTAGGAAATGTGACTAAGTTAATGTTCGTGACATGGCAAGATTATCCTGAGTTATTTAGGTGAGCCCTAAATGCAAACACAAGTGTTCTCATAAGAAAGAAGCGAGGGGAATGTTATGGTTTGGATATAAAGTGAACCAAAAGACTCATACGTGGAAGGCTTAGTCCCTAATGGGTGGCGCTACTGAGAGTTCATTGGGTCGTGAGGGTGCTAACCTCACCAATGATGAATTCATAGCTGAATGGGCTTTTAGGAGATGGGGCCTACTTGGAGGAAGTAGGTCACTGGGACAGTGACTTTGAAGGGTATATCTTGTCTCCAGTCCCTCTCACTCTTGCTCTCGCTCTGCTTCCCAATTGCCATGAGCTGAACAACTCTGCTCCATCAGGCCCTCTCTGCCATGATGCTCTGTCTCACTACAGGTCCACAGTGACAGAGCCAAATGATCATGGACTGAAGCTTCTGAAACCACTTGCCAAAATAAATCCCTTAAGCTGTTTAATCTCAGGTATTTTATCTCAGTGATGAAAAACTGACTATCAGAGAAAATTGGTACTGAGACATGAGGTTGTCACTGTGACTATTGAAGTGTGGCCCCAAAAGGTTCATAGGTTGAGGGCCTGGATCCCAGTTGGTGGTGCTATTGAGAGGTGATTGGATCGTGAGGGCACTAATTTCATCAACGGGCTAGCCCACTGGTGAGTTCATAGATGAATGGGTTTTTAGGAGTTAGGGTGTAGCTAGAGGAAGCAGGTCACTGGGGTGTGCTTTTGAAGGGTATATCATGCCCCAGATCCTTCCTGTCTCTCTCTCTGCCTCTTGTCTGCCATGAGGTAAGATAATTTGTTCCACTTCATGCTCCCTACCTTGATGTTCTACCTCACCAACATGAGCCAGAAGGAATGGAGCCAAGTAACCATGGACCAAAACCTTAAATTGTGAACCAAAACAAGTCTTTCTTTCTTTGAGTTGCTTTTCTCAGGTATTTTGTTACAGCAACAAAGAACTAATAAAGGGATCTCTGACTCCAGGGTGATGCAAGTAGGGACAGATGTGAAGATGTTACTATCTGAATTTAAAGATGGAGAAAGGGGCCGTGAGTTAAGGAACATAAGGAACATAGCTCTAGAAGCTGGAAAAGACAACACAGGATTCTCTCCTTTGAGTCACCGACAGTGACTAGCCCTGCCAGCACCTGATTTTTGGACTTATGACATCCAGAACTGCAAGAGAGTACATGTGTGTTGTTTTAAGCCACTTAACGGGTGTTGATTTGTTAAAGGAGTACTAGAAAACTAATATAGTTTTACTATTCATACTAGCATCTAGAAGGAATCTGTCAGATACAAACTACTATATTGAACTATTTAAAGAATGCCAAGATAAACAAGTTCACAATTATGCAAAAACAGAGATGCTACTGTATAGTGAAAGAAAAGGTGTTAAAGATTAAGATCATACTGTTTTTGCTAATCACCCAAAAACCTGTCATGTAGATACATTATAAAACTAACTAAATAATATAGAATGAAACTGTGATGTCAGTTTTATGTGTCATTTGGTTTAGGCTATAGTAATCAGTTATTTAGGCAAACACTAATATAGGTATTGTTGTGAAAATGTTTTATAGTGTGATTCATGTCTTCAGTTGACTTTAACAAAAGATATCCCCTAGACAGAAGCAGTATCAACATCTTGGTATAGCATCTCCCTAAATGTATCTGCTCATATAAACTCTTTAAAAATAAATTGGAATTAGCCAATCAGCCTATGAAAAAAATGTTCAATATCATTTAGTCCTCAGGGAAATATAAATCAAAACCACAATAAGATGTTTCATCTCCACTAGGATGATTGTAATGAGAGATACACACTAACACATAATGGTGAGAATAAGAAGATTCTGGAACCCTCATGCATTTCTGTGGGAATCAAAATGGTGCAACTGCTTTGGAATTTCCTCAAGAAAATTCAACATAGAGTTAACTACATGACCCAGAAATTCCAATACCAGGGATATGCCCAAGCAAAATGAAAATACACGTTCATCCAAAAACTTGCACACAAATACATATAATTATTATTCATAATGTCCCCAAAGTGGAAACAACCCACTGTGTACCAACTGGTAACTAGGCAAAAAATGTGGTATAGTCATACAAATGAATATTATTTGGCAATAAAAAGAGATCAAATATTGGCATGTTACAACACAGACAACACTTGAAAACCCATGATAAGTGAGAGAGGCCAATCACAAAGACTCTTCATGCTCGGAATAGGCAAGCTCACAGAAACAGAAAATAGATGCAGTGGCTGCACAAGGCCAAGGGCAGGGTGATGTGAGGGAAATGAGGACTGGGTGCTTATGGGTAGTCATTTCTTCTAGGGGACAAAATGTTCTAAATTAGATAAAGATGATGGTTGTTAATTGTATTTTCAAATGGCTGAATTATGGAGTATATCAATTCTATTTCAATCAAGCCATTTTAAAAATAAAATAGACCATATCATATATTAAATGGTATTATATTTCTGAAACACATTTTTGCCACTAGCAATATATCAAGAGACATTTACATAAGTCTATCTCATTCTATTTAATAGTAAGGAGTAATTGTTTATATGATGATGGCACTGCTGTTAATTATGCAATTATACCACAAATTTATTTAACCCATTCCTAGACATGGCTCTAGTGGTAGAGTGCCTCCCTAACAAATGCCAGGCCCTAGTTAGAACCCTAGTACTGCCAAAAAAAGAAAAGAATGACAGAGAGAGAGAGAGAGAGAGAGAGAGAGAGAGAGAGACAGACAGACATGCAGACACGGTTGGAAACCATGTTGTTGCTTGTCCAGAAACTTGAATTATTCTAGAGGAGGTGAAACAGCCTGGGGAAGACAGTAGAAGATGCTGAGATAGGAAATCTCAGCAAATCTTTTGTGACAAAAGGAGGTTGATTATATTTTCAATGTGACCGGAATCCTCTACTTATAGGATTTTATCCACAGAAATGAAATTAAATCATAAAGGGTATTTTTTTTTTAGAAATATTGCTGTGCAAGGAATAAGAGAGGAAGGGAGGGAGGGAACAAGTCACCAGTTAGGATTACTATAATTGCCTAGGTGAGATTTGGCTTGACTTGAACTCAGACAGAGGCAGTGAAAGCAGGAGAAGGAGATGTACCAAAAATATTGGAAAGGTAGATCCCGACATGCTTCTCAGAGATTCAGTTTGAGGAAGGGAGGTCTCTTCTGGCTCTACAATTAGGACTCTAGGAGTCAGACAGAAAACATCCCCTTTGGGGAAACTGAATAAAAAAACAGGACCTTGGTACTTTTACAGTAAAAATCATGTAAGTTTTTTTTTTTTAATATAATCACATTTGGCCTCTTTCTGGAAGCACTCCAAAGTTTGTAGTTCCTTAGAGGCTAAGTAGAAATCTCAACAGCTGGGGTATGGCTGCGCTCAAGATCTCATAATTCAGATAGGAATTCTTGTGTGTTCACAGTGACGTTTGCATAATTCCTTACATGGTTCACGTAAAATGATCACTCCTCCTAAGCCAAGTTCATTGTGTTGATTGCTCATTGTATCTGTGGCTCAAGACTGCATGGGAAAATATGAAAAACCTACCAAACAAAAACTCAATACATTGGAAATAAAAATTGGCACAAGAAGAAAGCCTGAAAGCAACCACGTGCTTTTTCTTTCTCCCTCTACCTATCTTTCTTCATAGACACTGTCTATACCTATGCAGACCCATGAAAATGGTCTTTATACACCACAAACATCTGACATCACATACAAGATCTGACACACATAATTACTTGATATACACATATAACAAAGGAAAAAGTGCCCCTCTCTGATGCTTTTCTCCCAAGGGCTCACAGTTCATGCTAACAGTAAACGTGTAAATCATGTTGTGCGTTCTTTCCCTTGCTTCCAAATAGACTATTAAAAGTCAGCATCTGCAGTGATAATAAGACAAATACTTTCACAAGTTCATTTTACTTTGCAGATTCATCTCTTTTTTTTGAAAACAGCAAAGCACTGAGTTAACACAGGAACTAATTTTGTCATTTAGCATTTCCAAGAGAAGATCCTGAAAAATTTAATTGATTTGGTAACAGCAACAACAACAACAAAAATGACAAAATGGAATTGAGTGAAAGTTTGAGTATTTTCAGTCTAAAAGATGTTTTGTACAAAGACATTCTGAAAACTACAGCTTGGAATAGATTTAAATATCACAACTCCAAATAACATTACAGCTGCTTCCTCAACACTGCTGTAGCCATTTAGATTTGGAATCCAAGCCCTAGCAAGGGTCTCTACCCATTTGTGGCTAGAGAGAGCCTGTTTTTGAGCACTGTTAGTGACCAAAACTTAAGTTGTAGCAGACAAAATGTAATCTTTTACATCAAACAACATATATCAGCTTTCAGTGTCCAGAGCAGAAATTGAAGATTCTTGTCTTTTGATACCTAAGAATATCTCTCAAAGATCAATGTGGTAATGTTAACCCAATTTCATACTCTGGACTTGAGAACAGACATAATTCAAAAGCCAAGATATTGACAAATTAATTAAGTCTATCCCTCTCTGTGATGTGATCAGCAGTGTTCTTGTTTCATCATGTGAGCAGAATTTGTATATATATGCCAATAAGAAATCTATCTGCATTGTGTAAGAAATGGTATTGGGGAAAGACCTGGAACATGGATGAAAGGTTTATCTTTTCCTTGAGATGAAGTTATTTAAGTACAGACTCAGTGTGTTTCTACATTTCACATTGATTTTATTTTATACTTAAGTGCCTTTGGAATCATCAATTTTAGAGTTAAACAATTGTGAAT